GGCAAAATTTCTGGACGACCCCCATCCTTTCCTTTTGAGACGTAAAAACCCCAATGATCACGAATGCTGGGGAAAACCATCTTCTTTTTTGGGCGGTCATCAACAAGGCCTGTAGCGAACCTGATTGTAGGAACCAGACGTAGTGTAAATCCTGAAACTGAATTCAAAATATAACATAACTGTAACACAAGACATTTGTAATGTAACTACACTACTTATATCAGCTCTAGCCAAAAATCTTCTACTAAGAGATGAGCTGAGAATATGAAAATACTCAGTGACAATTAAGTAGTGAATATATAAATGATACTAACTTCTAAGATAACTTACTACTATTGAATTGTGTACAGAGCACCCGTCGGTCAGGTCATTTGTTGTCAGTCCTGAGTCAGTCAGCCTCTCCCCCCGCCGGCTGGGGCCCCAAAAGGTACCTCGTCTACTGTTTACTGCAGCATGGTCATCTCCTTTCTTCTCCCAGATTCACTCCTTTTTATCAGCTACATAGCCACTTCCCAACAGCTGGACTCCGTCCGTCTTGACGTCTATCGGGTCCCCCTTCTCACTCCATTCCGGGAACCCTCTACAGCCTTCCTGGAAACCAAAAAGGCTGACTTCACAAAAGAACAGGGACTTTATCTTTGACCATACTTAGGATTTAACTAGAATTCTTAGAACTATGCTAATAAGTTTCAACTATCCAAAGTTGGCTCTGAGATGTACTTCGAAAACAGGCAACATCTTGGCCACTTACATAAGCCCATTGTCCAACTCACATGAACCCATAACCACTCAGCTCAAACAAGTACAAATAATAAAATAAATACAAATAATGTCTATATGTAAAGTACATACTGTTCTATTACATATTTCTTCTGGAATCTGATTTATTTTTAACCACCACACTTCTTTTTGGTGTTGGAAACCATAAATATTTCCATTTATTTTATATCATTTATTTTGTAAAATGAAAGCTTGTCCTCCTGATTTGTGTCATAAAGCAAGCCGTCTTTACGCTGCACAGCAATGATGGAGAGGTTCTCTTATTTATCTGCAGGTCAAATATGTTAAGACAATTATTTGATGCTTGTTGTTTGAACCTAAAAGAAATACCAATGCATTTTTAATGAAAGTCTTTTATAATGTATTTTCAGATGCATAGGTAACTTATTGCTGATTTAAAACCAACAATAACTGTATCTGTAGAAGCCAACTAATCCAGAGTTAGTAGCGCCAACAGAGAAATAGTGATAATATGCAACTGCTGGACAGGTGGAGATATTAAAATTAAAAAAGCATCATCAGATTATTTCTTTGCCTCATTTGAATATGGTGATATTGATGTAAATTTCACCATATGGCACCTGTAAAATTATTACTGACAGCAGTCTGATAGATGAGTATGAGCAGATAAAGGACGACAGCCACAGCCAGATCCACAGTTATGCTATCGCCGCCAGCCAGAGGGAAGGACGGAGTAGAGAGGAAGAGGCAGTGCTGTTTCTGGGGTTCTATGCTATAAGCTTAAATAATGATGTGTGCATTTGTGTAGCTCACCATCGCTAAGCTGTCAGACTTCCAGAGCACACATACACTTCTTTGAACTGAGTCACTGTCCCCTGCAGGTTGGTACAGCCTGGAGGCATTACTGAACGTGTGAGTCAGCCTGACAGTGAGCCTCATCAAGCTAGAGTATGACTTGACACAAAGTACCTGATATTCCACTCCCTAGTTATTCTGCGGTGGTTTATGGACAGACAGAGCCAACACAAACTTTTGATGCATTTGTGCCCCTTACAACAGGGCCAGACAGGTGGCAGTGGTTTCGCTGTCATGTCGGGGTGTTCCTCTACTGGCAAACTCCTTGAGACTGGGAGTTTTCATTCAGTATTTGGGAATACAAACTTGCATTTATGAGCCTTCTGTAAATGTCATCTCAGTCGCATCGGTACACTCACTCCTCCATGCTGCATGGTCAGCACTGTGCAGTCACCTTAGTGGTCCTGACTCTCAGCCAGGTCCATACCACACATGCTAACACTATCTGAGCCTAACCTGTTTATTCTGGTTTCATTTGAACAAAGGATGCCTAATCATCAAGCTTCTTTTCATGTACTCAGGCAAGGTGCCACCATTTTGAAAGCAGTGTTTTTTTCCTTGCAAGCTGATGTCCTTTGTATTGCTCCTACTGGTTGGAAAGTGCAGCTGCAGTCATGTTTGTTGCACAGGTGTCACTCACTTTTACTGCTCTGCGGGGAAACTTTGGGGCCCTTATTTTCAGTGTTTGTTTTTAACTACACATTAGCTAAAACACCCTACATTTCATTTTAACATTTTAGTGATATTGTACTGGGCAGTGGCATAAAAAAAACATTTGGGCAGGCCAGTAAAATAGATAAGCCCACAGGTATGTTGTTTTGTTTTAAAAGTTTACATTGATCATCCCGCTATGCCACAGCTACTGGCGATACTAAAGACAAGCTAAGAAGCTTACATCTGTTGTAGGTTTCACTATCAGAACCAAAACCCACCATCAAGCATATTTACAATTTCTTTTTTTCATACAGCAGCAGGTTAATTTAATCATTTTAAAGGCAAAACCAGCATTTGTTTATACAAGGCATTTTCAGAAAAGAAATCACTTCACAACCGCTAAAAGGCTAAAAAATAATTGAGGAAGCACAGACCAATCTGGCCGGGCCTGAGCCATCTATGACGTGGACTCAGTTTTGTTGTAGAGCCAGCATATTTGCAACTGGTAATGAATTTTCTTTGCCAAAAAACATTTCCATTTCAGTTATAAGTGAGCTGTCATAGGCAATGCCTTGAAATGTATTTCCTTTCAAAGCACTAGTATAATAGAAAATGGATTCAAATCCATATGGTTCGAAGTCTACAGCAAAATGACAATTAGCACAATAGCTGTCAAAAATACACATGCAAAAAATAGCAAATTATAGGACAAGGACAAACAGAGAACGACCCAGTTCTACTGACCTACTGGGTGTGTGTCCCAGTCCCAGCACCTGGACTCTTTGCTGTGGAGCCAGATCCATCTGCACTGACACAAACACCTTTAGGCCTTTTACCTTTGTCAACAGATTTTGTTATGATCAGCAGCTGTTGGTTGAAGTTGTCTTCATATAACAGATTAATGTAACTGAACCACACTTCGGATTACAATCAAAAATCTTGTTATGGTATTGTAGATTTTAAATGTTTTGTTGTTCATATGATCAGTTTACTATTAAAAGTCTGAGATAATGAAAGACAATTGTTTAACATTTTGGAATAAGTTTCCGACCTTTGCATGATTAGGTGTACATGAATTACTCAGAAGTAACAAACATTTTCAAAACGGTCATGTTACACTAAAAAGCCAAGTGACTAAATGATGACGACTCAGCGGGCAGGTGCAGATCATTATTGTATGTGGGGTTTTGTGGTTTTGAGAATAAAAACAGATTTTTATATAATCATGAGTCAGTCATTAGTTCATCACTGTGGCATCTGTCCATCTGGATGAATCTTATAGGCATGAGTCTACTGCATGTGCGCATGTGTACACATGTATGTTCATGTGTGTCACATGACGAAGATAAGTAGTAGTATCTATAGATAACCAAAACACAGAGAGGTGTAATCAGCACAGTGTTGCACGAGTACAAAGAGTTGCATCATGTGCAAAAGTATGCATGTATGAGAATAACATGCATGCACACACACACACACACACACACACACAAGGCTGAGATTACCCTTGAACTCTGCACACTACAGCAGGTTTACAGCCCCCATTCAGTACCTCTGAATGGCTCTATTATTATCACTCAGGTTTCATAGACTGAATGTGTGTGTGTGTGTGTGTGCGAAAGAGAAAGACAAACAGAGTAATTATGAAAGCGAGAAAGGCCACAAATGAGACAAATGTTTTGTGCAGTGTATAATTGTTCCAAGTTAGAAAATGTTAAATGAAATGAAAGTCTGTGGGGGGAAAGGAGAACAAGAGGCACATTTAGGTAGAGAGGATCCGCAGAGGAAGAAAAAAGAGAAACTTCATATGGGTGAAACACAAAAAGTGCCTGAACAAATCTGTTATAGAACCTGCCCTTAACAAAAACACAGTATGTGAAACCACTCCCGAGTCTGACACCAGCATTACAACAGGCTGGAGTATCAACAAAAGCTAGGGCTTGAGATCCTCAAGTCATTAAAAATAAAGAGGTCCCCCTATGGAAAACTCAATGAAAAGATGTCAAACAAACATTGAAGGCGCTGAAGGTGGCCCCTGATCATGCATTCAATAATGTGGTTTCACTGTAAGAACAATTATTTTTTTATTTTATTTTTGAAACATTTCCATGTTCTCACTTATTGTCTGTGAATAATCAAATTCTTGCAAATATATAAGATTTAGAAAAGACAAGGTGGGTTTCATAATTGAAATAACACCCCTCTGGTCTATTCACCCCACAACAGTGGTCGTCAGGTTAATTCTTAATCAGAATGGTGGTCCCTGGGTTGCAATTAATGGAAAACCCCTGAACTGTGTTAAATTCTTGAAGACTAAAACAACATATTTGAGAGAATATGAAACAGAAGAACTGTCCATGCAGCTCTGACTCCTCAGTAGTGTGCGTCTCTCAGAAGCAGCGTGAGGTTTCTGATGTGCTCTGCACGGTAGCGAGGCGACTGATGCAGCGGCAGCTCAAAGAAAGAGAAGGTGAAGCTCCGGGAGAAACTCAGGTCGGTGACAGGATGCAGTGGTGGGAGGCGGGGAGGACGGGGGACACGATGCTGGGGCAGCACTCCGCGCCTTGCCCGCCACCCCCCACCTCTTCCATCTGCAGAGAAAGAGAGGGATGGATGAAGCAGAAGAATGCTTTGGTTAGGAAGCGACTCAATAAAATATCAAACTAAATATAAAACAACTGCATCTGTTTTTCACACAGATCTCAAAGGACTCCGAAAGACAAACAGAGTAATTATGAAAGCGAGAAAGGCCACAAATGAGACAAATGTTTTGTGCAGTGTATAATTGTTCCAAGTTAGAAAATGTTAAATGAAATGAAAGTCTGTGGGGGGAAAGGAGAACAAGAGGCACATTTAGGTAGAGAGGATCCGCAGAGGAAGAAAAAAGAGAAACTTCATATGGGTGAAACACAAAAAGTGCCTGAACAAATCTGTTATAGAACCTGCCCTTAACAAAAACACAGTATGTGAAACCACTCCCGAGTCTGACACCAGCATTACAACAGGCTGGAGTATCAACAAAAGCTAGGGCTTGAGATCCTCAAGTCATTAAAAATAAAGAGGTCCCCCTATGGAAAACTCAATGAAAAGATGTCAAACAAACATTGAAGGCGCTGAAGGTGGCCCCTGATCATGCATTCAATAATGTGGTTTCACTGTAAGAACAATTATTTTTTTATTTTATTTTTGAAACATTTCCATGTTCTCACTTATTGTCTGTGAATAATCAAATTCTTGCAAATATATAAGATTTAGAAAAGACAAGGTGGGTTTCATAATTGAAATAACACCCCTCTGGTCTATTCACCCCACAACAGTGGTCGTCAGGTTAATTCTTAATCAGAATGGTGGTCCCTGGGTTGCAATTAATGGAAAACCCCTGAACTGTGTTAAATTCTTGAAGACTAAAACAACATATTTGAGAGAATATGAAACAGAAGAACTGTCCATGCAGCTCTGACTCCTCAGTAGTGTGCGTCTCTCAGAAGCAGCGTGAGGTTTCTGATGTGCTCTGCACGGTAGCGAGGCGACTGATGCAGCGGCAGCTCAAAGAAAGAGAAGGTGAAGCTCCGGGAGAAACTCAGGTCGGTGACAGGATGCAGTGGA